GAGTTCGTAAAGGCGGGAAAACTTGCTTGTATCATTCAGTATCCTTCCAACTGAACCTGATAGCGGATTTATCGTCACAGGACCCCTGGATTTGTATCCAGTTACGATGAACGGTTGAGCTCTCAAAGAGGCTTCTTGTTTTGAGCGATCGTTGGGAATCAACTCGTTTAAATCGCTAAGGCTGCCGGGAAAATGACCGGCATCCTGTATCGTTCCAGAAAACGTCTGATATCCCCCTGTCGTACTCTGTCTTTGAAAGAGCGAGATTTGGCTATATCTCTAACGGAAAAAATGTTGATAAAAAAAAAATTATTCAATCTAGTGGCGAATCCTTTGTTCATTTCTTTTTATCGCTACTATCAATGGCATATGTTCCAACAGGTGCATTCTGGTGTTCCAACATTTCAGACGTTTAGAGATGGAATGCTCCGTGAATGAGTGGGAAAAGAAAGAAAATGAAAGAAAAAGAACGTCAAGAAAGAAAGACGTGTGATGAAGAAATAATTGAAAAGAAAGAAATTTAAATAAGAACTATAAAAAAAAGAAAGAAGGAAAGAAAAAAGAAGAGAGAATGAAGGGAGAAAGAAAGAAAGAAAGAAAGACCGAGTGAATGAATGAATGAAAAAAGACATTAAAAAGAAAGAATGTCGAGAAAGAAAAGCCTGAAAGAAATAATTGAAAAGAAAAAGAAAGAAATAAGAATGATGAAGAAGTAAAATAAAATAAAATGAATGAGAGTAAAAAAAGAAAGAATGAGTGAATTGAAAAAGAAAGGAATTGAAAGAAATGAATGAAGATAAAGAAAGAAAGATAGAAAGTCCTGAGAGAAACAAATGACTGAAAAAATAACAAAAAAGGAATGAAAAAAGAAAGGCATAATGAGAGAAAGGAAAGTAAGAAAGAAAGAAAGAGAGGAAGAAAGCGAAAAGAAATGTGGAAAGAAAGAAAGGTGGAAAGAAATAAAGAAAGAAAAAAAAGGAAAGAAAGAAAGAACGAACGAACGAACGAATGAATGAATGAATGAATTGAAAAAGAAAGAAATTGAAAGAAATGAATGAAGATAAAGAAAGAAAGCCACAAAGTCCCGAGAGAAACAAATAACTGAAAATATAACCAAAAGGAATGAAAAAAAAAAGGTATAATGAGAAAAAAGAAAGTGATAAAGAAAAAAAGAAAGAGGGGAAGAAATAAATAAATAAAAAGAAAGTTAGAAAGAAAGAAAGAAAGAAAGAAAGAAGAAAGGTGGAAAGAACGAACGAACGAACGAACGAAGAACGAACGAACGAACGAATGAATGAATGAATTGAAAAAGAAAGAAATTGAAAGAAACGAATGAAGATAAAGAAAGAAAGATAGAAAGTCCTGAGAGAAACAAACGACTGAAAAAATAACCAAAAGGAATGAAAAAAAGAAAGGAGAAATAAGAAAAAGAAAGAAAGAATGAAAAAAAGAAAGAAAGAGTGGAAGAAAGAAAGAAAAAAGAAAGGTGAAAAGAAAGAAAGAAAAAAGAAGAAAAAAATGTGGAAAGATGAATGAATGAATGAATGAATGAATGAGTGAATTGAAAAAGAAAGAAATTGAAAGAAATGAATGAAGATAAAGAAAGAAAGATACAAAGTACTGAGAGAAACAAATGACTGAAAAAGAAAGAAAAAAGAAAGGTAGAATGAAAGAAAGAAAGGAAGAAAGAGAGAAAAAAGAAAGAAAGAAAGAGGGAAAGAAAGGTGGAAAGAAAAGGAAGTCGAATCACCTTCATTTACACCGTATTCCAAGTTTAATTTGAAACTTCCACCCACACACCTTACACGCACCCCCCACCAAAAAAAGAACTGCCACTTCGTGGAACAGACTCCTGCTTAATTTTTATTTTCCCTGCCGCTTCCACAGTAAACCTCTACCTTGAGTGGCTGACGAGCTTTATATTGAGCTATAAAAACTAATAATTAGAACAACATAATCTCATAACCCTGATATTTGACCTTGTGTCAGACACAGCTAAGTTTAGTTTTTTTTTACTCACTGTGCCAGAGCAGGTGAAAGTACGCGCACCTCAAATTAAAGATTGGCGCTAAACGCTCTTCATTGTCTATATTCCAACCGCATGTGTTGTCTTAATTATCTTACCTCTGAAAATTATTTCCGAAATTTTTACGTGTATCTTCTTTTATGTGCCGAGTGCTTTCAGGGTGTAGGCGATCATGGCTCTCCACCTCCTCCTATACCTTGTAGCTCTCAATAAGTTTTGTTTCTATGTTATTTCTCCGAGGCCCTGTTCTGTCATCCACTTGATTAAGGCCATCAAGTATGTTACTTGTTGCTTTTCCCAGTCCTTCTTTCTCTATATACGTCCCGTGTGTATCAGATTTTCCAAGCCCTCCTTCTTCATTACGTGTCCCAGAAATTTCCTGATGCTAAGTATAAGTTACCTATTTGCTTCCGTCCTCTCAAAAAACCTCGTTGTTGCTCAAATGTTCGATCCATGGTATCCTAAGCATCCTTCTGTAGAACAACTTTTCTCTTGATTCCAGACCCTGTTTCATCTCTGACATCTGTTGTTCAGTTCACTGCCATATAGGAGGACTGATATTCATAACAGTTCAGTCTCTTTTCTTTGTTTCTCTTGTTTCAGGTCTCTTCTTCATCTGTGAAGAGATTGTCCATTTCACTGCCATATAGGAGGACTGATATTACATAACAGTTCAGTACTTTTTTCTTTGTTTCTCTTGCTTCAAGTCTCTTCTTCATCTGTGAAGATATTGTCCAGCATTCACTGCCATATAGGAGGACTGATATTATTAACAGTTCAGTACTTTTTCTTTGTTTCTCTATTGCTTCAAGTCTCTTCTTCATCTGTGAGGAGATTGTCCAGCATTCACTGCCATATAGGAGGACTGATATTATATAACAGTTCAGTACTCTTTTCTTTGTTTCTCTTTGCTTCAAGTCTCTTCTTCATCTGTGAGGAGATTGTCCAGCATTCACTGCCATATAGGAGGACTGATATTACATAACAGTTCAGTACTCTTTTCTTTGTTTCTATTGCTTCAAGTCTCTTCTTCATCTGTGAGGAGATTGTCCAGCATTCACTGCCATATAGGAGGACTGATATTACATAACAGTTCAGTACTCTTTTCTTTGTTTCTATTGCTTCAAGTCTCTTCTTCATCTGTGAGGAGATTGTCCAGCATTCACTGCCATATAGGAGGACTGATGTTACATAACAGTTCAGTACTCTTTTTCTTTGTTTCTATTGCTTCAAGTCTCTTCTTCATCTGTGAGGAGATTGTCCAGCATTCACTGCCATATAGGAGGACTGATATTACATAACAGTTCAGTACTCTTTTTCTTTGTTTCTATTGCTTCAAGTCTCTTCTTCATCTGTGAGGAGATTGTCCAGCATTCACTGCCATATAGGAGGACTGATATTACATAACAGTTCAGTACTCTTTTCTTTGTTTCTATTGCTTCAAGTCTCTTCTTCATCTGTGAGGAGATTGTCCAGCATTCACTGCCATATAGGAGGACTGATATTACATAACAGTTCAGTACTCTTTTCTTTGTTTCATCAAGTCTCTTCTTCATCTGTGAGAGATTGTCCAGCATTCACTGCCATATAGGAGGACTGATATTACATAACAGTTCAGTACTCTTTTCTTTGTTTCTATTGTCTTTTCTCTTCTTCATCTGTGAGGAGATTGTCCAACATTCACTGCCATATAGGAGGACTGATATTACATAACAGTTCAGTACTCTTTTTCTTTGTTTCTATTACTTCAAGTCTCTTCTTCATCTGTGAGGAGATTGTCCATCATTCACTGCCATATAGGAGGACTGATATTACATAACAGTTCAGTACTCTTTTTCTTTGTTTCTATTGCTTCAAGTCTCTTCTTCATCTGTGAGTAGATTGTCCAGCATTCACTGCCATATAGGAGGACTGATATTACATAACAGTTCAGTACTCTTTTCTTTTTGTTTCTATTGCTTCAAGTCTCTCTTCTTCATCTGTGAGGAGATTGTCCAGCATTCACTGCCATATAGGAGGACTGATATTACATAACAGTTCAGTACTCTTTTCTTTGTTACTCTTGCTTCAATTCTCTTCTTCATCTGTGAGGAGATTGTCCATATATCACTGCCATATAGGAGGACTGATATTAAAACAGTTCAGTACTCTTTTCTTTATTTCTGTTGCTTCAAGTCATTCTTCATCTGTGAGGAGATTGTCCAGCATTCACTGCCATATAGGAGGACTGATATTATATAACAGTTCAGTACTCTTTTCTTTGTTTCTCTTGCTTCAAGTCTCTTCTTCATCTTTCAGGAGATTGTCCAACATTCGCAGCCGTAGAGGACAGATATGACTTAGCAGTTCAGTACTCTTTTTATTGTTTCCAACCAAATTTTCCTGTCTCTTATTTCTCTAGCTTTTGCAATGCATCTTTGGCCATCAAGATAGGTCTTCGGATCTCAGTGTCACACTTTCAGTCCTCCGTTAGAACACTTCCCAGATATTTAAATTTTTGCGCCTGTTTGATTTTGGTATCTCCAACCTGCAAATTATATTTCAGGCTCATCTTTTTGCTGATGATGCATTCTGTCCTCTTGTAGTGTACAGGGTTATTCAAAAAGATTTCGTAAATTTAATCAAAGCAATTGCTACGAGACAGAAACACATTCAACATATTACTGGATCGAAAAACTGTCTTCTTGCAGTTTATCTTTAGTCATTTCTTCTTGCTTTCTTTCACTGCTTGTTGGAACTTTTGTAGTTTTCTTTTCCGTGTCTACTATCGTCACTGTGTCATCTGCATATCTTAGCTTTGGGAATGCATCTTTGCCCCTCCCAAAATATCTTCGGATCTCAGTGTCACACTTTCCGTTCTCTGTTAGAACACTTCCCAGATATTTAAATTTCTCTACCTGCTTGATTTTAGTACCCAGGATCTGTAATTTTCTTTTTGAGGCTCATCTTTTTCTTCTAAATGATCTAACGAGACATGCTTGCCAGCCATTACATCACGTCTCTTTATACCTTTTATCCTTTTAAAATCTACTCATGTACCAATGAAGAGTTACATAAGGGGAGATAATTAAAACGGCGTATTTATTATCATAACAAAATGGCGCTGTGGTGTGAACTCAGGAGGAGAGGGTACTAAATGTAGATTATGAAAGTTTATGATTGTAACGAGCGGGAAAGCATCTACGCAGGAGAATTCCATAAATTAGCGATTATTGGGATTGATTGAGTTGTCTTCTTTTACGGATTACCAACCCGTTGTGGGTTATTTAAAGCCGAAATTTTGAGGAGGTACAATCAGTTCTTGGGGAGGAGCGATTATTGGGATTGATTGAGTTGTCTTCTTTTACGGATTACCAACCCTTTGTGGGTTATTTAAAGCCAGAATTTTGAGGAGGTACAATCAGTTCTTGGAGAGGAGCGATTATTGGGATTGATTGAGTTGTCTTCTTTTACGGATTACCAACCCTTTATGGTTTATTTAAAGCCGAAATTTTGAGGAGGGACAATCAGTTCTTGGGGAGGAGCGATTATTGGGGTTAATTGAGTTGTCTTCTTTTACGGATTACCAACCCGTTGTGGGTTATTTAAAGCCAGAATTTTGAGGAGGTACAATCAGTTCTTGGGGAGGAGCGATTATTGGGATTAATTGAGTTCGGGCTCATCTTTTTGCTGGTGACCATGCAATCTGTCTTCTTGCAGCTTAGGCTCAGTCCCGCCTTCTTGCTCTCCTTCTCTACCTTTTTGTAGGAGGTTTTGTAGTTTCTTTTCTGTGTTCCGACGCCATCGACACAAAATTCCTGCTTGTGTGTGTGTGTGTGTGTGTGTGTGTGTGTGCACGAGCACTGATTCTATCGTTTTTTTTCTTCACGTTTTCCATCGCCGGCTACCCGACCCCACGGGTATTGGTGCTCACAAAATACCTTCCACCACCCACTTACGGTAACCGAAGCTTATGGAGGTATCATTTTTTTTTTTTTTTTAACTGACAATCGTCTTGAGGCGAGAGTTCATCACCTTCTGACAGTAACTGACGCTGTTGACAACTGACACTTGCCTCGGCCCAGCCCCTGCTAAACTTCTTTCCCTACCCCCACCCCCTTTACAGTTTTTTTTTATTTGTTTATTTTACGTTTATTTTTATTTTATTTTTTTCAAATATTTATTTACTTATTTACACCCAGCGCTTTTAATTAATCACACGACTTTTAGAGGGGCTTCTCACAAGTCAAATTCATCAGTGAAATGAGTCCAATTTTCCTCGGGCGCTCCACTGATACAGTCTTGTACCAGACTTAAGAAGACAAGGGCATTCTCATTTAGCAGTCTTCAGTCCTCATTGGGGGTTCTAAGTAAGTTTCTTGGGTGATCTATATCTTTCTTTCTTTCTTTTAATCTTTCTGTCGTTCTTTCTTTCTTTCTTCTTGATTTCTTTCTTTCTTCCTTTTTATCTTTCTGTCATTCTTTCTTGCTTTCTTCCTCTCTTTCTTACTTTCTTCCCTCTTTCTTTCTTTCTTTCTTTCTTTCTTTCTTTCTTTCTTTCTTTTATAGTTTCATTCTCCTCCCTTTCATTTCAAGACACATTTCTTCCTTCCTTTCTTTCTTTCTTTCTTTCTTCCTTTTTCTTCTTTCTTTCTTTCTTTCTTTCTTTCTTTCTCTTTTTTCTTCTGTTATTCTTTCTTTCTTTCTTTCTTTCTTTCTTCTTGATTTCTTTCTTTCTTCCATTTTATCTTTCTGTCATTCTTTCTTGCTTTCTTCCTCTCTTTCTTTCTTTCTTTCTTTCTTTATTGTTTCTTTCTTTCCTCTGTTATTCTTTCTTTCTTTCTTTCTTTCTTTCTTGTTATCTTTCTCTCTTTCTTACTTTCTTCCCTCTTTCTTTCTTTCTTTTTTTTTCTTTCTTTCTTACTTTCTTCCCCTTTTCTTTCTTTCTTTCTTTCTTTCTTTCTTTCTTTCTTTCTTTTTTCTTTCTTTCTTCTGTTATTCTTTCTTTCTTTCTTTCTTTCTTTCTTTTATCTTTCTCTCTTTCTTTTCTTCCTTTTTCTTTCTTTCTTTTTTTTTCTTTCTTTCTTACTTTCTTCCCTCTTTCTTTCTTTCTTTCTTTCTTTCTTTCTTTCTTTATTGTTTCTTTCTTTCCTCTGTTATTCTTTCTTTCTTTCTTTCTTTCTTTTTTCTTGATTTCTTTCTTTCTTTTTTTCTTTTATTTTTTCTTTCATTCTTTCTTGCTTTCTTCCTCTCTTTCTTTCTTTCTTTCTTTCTTTCTTTATTTCTTTCTTTCTTTCCTCTTTTATTCTTTCTTTTTTCTTTTTTCTTTCTTTCTTTCTTTTCTCTTTCTTCTTTCTTTCTTCCTTTCTTTCTTTCTTTTTTTTCTTTCTTTCTTACTTTCTTCCCTCTTTCTTTCTTTCTTTCTTTCTTTATTGTTTCTTTCTTTCCTCTGTTATTCTTTCTTTCTTTCTTTCTTTCTTGTTATCTTTCTGTCATTCTTTCTTTCTTTCTTCCTCTCTTTCTTCCCTCTTTCTTTTTCTTTCTTTCTCTCTTTTTATCTTTCTTTCTTGCTTCCTTCTTTTTCTTACTTTCTTCCACCTTTCTTTCTTTCTTTCTTTCTTTCTTTCTTTCTTTTTATCTTTCTGTATCTCTTTTTATCTTTCTGTCTCTCTTTCTTACTTTCTTCCCCTCTTTCTTACTTTCTTCCCCTCTTTCTTACTTTCTTTCCCCTTTCTTTCTTTCCCCTTTCTTTCTTTCCCCTTTCTTTCTTTCCCCTTTCTTTGTTTGTTTTTAAAATTCGCAGGATTTTTTAAAGTAATTTATAGTATCAGTTTGTCTAAAAGTTATTTGAAATTTGCAATTCGCAGGGTAAATTGGTCATTAACTAAAGGTATCTTCATTCGAATTGTAAAGAAAATTTTGCTCTGTTTAATAAAAATAAAAATTCAGCGGTCTTTTGCGAGTCAGTTTTCACATATTTGAAACATTATGTTTTGATAATAGGACTCGCTTGGATTATACCCAAATGATGCAAATTATATATATATATATATATATATATATATATATATATATATGAAGAAATATAGTCTTAAGATGTGCTATATTTATGGGATAATGTGCTGAATATCAAAGATAGAGCGTATGTAAATATAAAAGTGAACATATGTGTTGACTTCTATGTTTCTTTATATATATATATATATATATATATATATATATATATATATATATATATATATATATATAAAATGATATACAAATTATAGGGTGTCTTATATTATAATTGTTCTTTAAGGCAAATATTACGAAGACAACCACCTTAACCATGTTTTACATTTCATTATTTACAGAGAAACATTCTCCGATTGAGTATCCATACACAACGTTGGTCTTATATAGAGGGTTGAGGTGTTTTTTATTTATTTATTTATCTTTATACACTTGCAGATGAAGGCTCTCAATATATAATTATTTTGTTATTATTTTATTTATACAGTCTTTTTTTGTATGAGCATTGCTTTAAGGTTCATAAGTCTGTATAGATAGACACATATATATACAAACATGTTGTGGTGTCCTCCATCTAAGAAATTATGTTGGACTCTTCCGCCTACTATAAGATTAGTAGGAGAGAAGGCCTAGATTGTTCAACTGTCAAACTCTCTGTCTCAGAACCCGGGCGAGGCTTTGCCGAAGGGCAAAGTTTCGTCCGGGGAGGTAGACAGTCCCTGAACCCGTCTAGGCGGGTTCAAAGGGAATATTTTTGACCGAGCCTACGGGCTCGGAGAAACGCATGTTAAACTCGGCCTTGTGCCATATACATTCCTTGTGGGGGGGACTGTTAAATATAACAGTCGAATAGATTGTTCAACTGTCAAACTCTCTGCCTCGAAGGACAAAGTTTTGTCCGGGGGGTGGGAGTTAGACAGGCCCTGAACTCGTTTATGCGAGTTCTAAGGGAATATTTTTGGCCGAGACTACGAGGTCGGAGAAACCCACTTTAAACTCGGCCTTGTGCCACATATATTCCACGTAGCGGGGGGGGGCTGTTAAATATAACAGTGAATAGATTGAGCGCTAGTTCATACCATACACTCTCGTTAGTCGTGTCATACTCTTCTGGTGTACTTACTGTTTAATATACGATATATCTGCAAACATGGTTTTCGTTATTCGTTAACCATTTACTTTGTTACGACAATGATGGCGAGTTTCTCGTTATCGAGCATGACCATACCGCAAAGATTCACCAGTGTCATACCCATACTGTCGGCTCATAAATGTATCCGAATATGCCTGTCGCTTAGTTGCAGACGCCTACTCAGGGAAATCTGTGTTTACTCAGAGAACCCCCACCTGTGATTTTTACTGCATCTGATATAGTTTCTGGAAGAGAAGTCGTTATCTGGCGTAAGCAAGTGAAATTAGATAGACGACTGAGTGATCAAGGCCAGTATGCTAAAATCCTAGGTACCCGTCCCAGGACGCTCAGACACTAGGAAGCCGTCACACTACGTTCGAAACAAAGAAACCCGTACACATTACGCTCAAATCCTAGGTACCCGTCCCAATATGCTCAAACCCTACGAACCCATCCCTGTCCGCTCTGATATTAAGGGCCCGTGCTAGTGAGCTCAAAATCTAGGAACCCGTCCCAATACGCTCAAACCTTAAAAATCCGTCCCACTACACAAAACCCAAGGAATCCGTACTTATACGCTCGAGTCCTCTGAACACGTCCCACTACGTTCAAGCCCCGATACGCCGAGATCCTAGAAACACATCCAAATACAGTAAAACCCTAGAAACACTTCCCAGTCCACTCAGACATTAGGGACCCGTGCCAGTGCGCTCATAAACTAGAAAATCGTCCCAATACGCTCAAACCCTAGGAACCCGTCCTATTAAGCTCAAACCCTAGGCACATGTTCAACTACACAAAAACCGTAGGAATCCGTCCTTATACGCTCAAACCCTCTGAACACGACCCACTACGCTCAAGCCCTAGGAAAGCGTCCCAATACGCTCAGATCGTAGGAACCAGTCCCAGTACGCTCTAATCCAATGAAACCATCCCTGTCCGCTCATACATTAGGGACCCGTGCCACTTCGCTCAAAAACTGGGAACCCGCCCCAATACGCTCAAACCTTAGAAACCCATTCCAATACGCTCAAACACTTTGAACTCGTCTCATTAATCTCAAACCCTAGGAATCCAATTTTTACAACCCCCCTCCCTAGGGATCCGTCCTTATACTCTCTAACCCTCTGAAGCCGACCCACTACGCTCAAGCCCTAGGAAAGCGTCCCATTACGCTCAGATCGTAGGAGCCCGACCCAGTACGCTTAAACCCTATGAACCTATCCCTGTCCACCCAGACATTAGGAGCCAGTGCCCGTGCGCTCAAACCATAGAAACCCGTCAATCCAATTTTTTACTCACAAGTACTTGAAAACTATCCCGCGGAATGTATTTTTTAGGCCCTTCACAAAAGGTGCCTCCATCGGCTGATAGCATCAAGTTACTTCCGGATATAACAATAGTGAGACTTGTAACCTGGTGCCATGGTCGAAAACCGAACGCTTTAATCACGTCAGGCCACGTATCCTTAAGACATAGGCATACATACAAAGAATAATGATAAGAACTCTATTTAAAATTATGCCATCTAACTTGCATCAAGGAACGTATAAGAAGGGGAACAGAATAACTTATGATGAACTTAGTTGTTTGTGTAGTAATTATTGAATCAGATATTTTAAAATGTTCACAGTTTGACTCTGAGGTTCGTGATTTCTGATTCGCCAGGACTTTCGAAAAGATTGCTTTTTTTTATGACAGAATGTCTGTTTTATTATTGTGTAAAAGCAAACTTTCAAATTTACAATTGTTCAGCACTTAGAAGCGCCAACATTTCGTGAGTACTCGAAAACAACAGAAAAGAAGAATAATCCCCTGTTTTATTATGCACACTGCAGGCAAAAGGTTTGGGTGTTGGCATGGCCAAGGACACATTCCAAAAGCTGGGTAGAGTATTGCGAGACAGGAGGATTTCTTTTGTAACGAAGAAAAGATAAAAAGAGACTCGAGGCGACAGAGATACGGTTCTACAGAAGGATGCTAAGGATATCATAGACCGAGCGTTTGAGCAACGATGAGCTCTTAGAGAGGATGCAAACAAGGAGGAGGCTTATACTTGACATCAGGAAGAGGCAGCGAATGTTGGACGTTTTCCTCAACGATGAAGAAGAGACTCGAGGCAACGGAGATGTGGTTCTACAGAAGGATGCTAAGGATATCATGGACCTAGCGTGTGAGCAATGAAGAGGTCTTAGAGAGGATGCAAACAAGGAGGAGGCTTATACTTAACATCAGGAAGAGGCAGCGAATGTTGGACGATTTCCTCAAAGATGAAGAAGAGACTCGAGGCGATGGAGATGTGGTTCTACAGAAGGATGCTAAGGATATCATGGACCGAGCGTGTGAGCAACGATGAGGTCTTAGAGAGGATGCAAACAAGGAGGGGGCTTATACTTAACATCAAGGAAGAGGCAGCGAATGTTGGACGATTTCCTCAAAGATGAAGAAGAGACTCAAGGCGACGGAGATGTGGTTCTACAGAAGGATGCTGAGGATATCATGGACCGAGCGTGTGAGCAACGATGAGGTCTTAGAGAGGATGCAAACAAGGAGGATGCTTATACTTAGCATCAGGAAGAGGCAGCGAATGTTGGACGATTTCCTCAAAGATGAAGAAGAGACTCGAGCGATGGAGATGTGGTTCTACAGAAGGATGCTAAGGATATCATGTACCGAGCGTGGGAGCAATGATGAGGTCTTAGAGTGGATGCAAACAAGGAGGAGGCTTATACTTAACATCAGGAAGAGGCAGCGAATGTTGGACGGTTTCCTCAAAGATGAAGAAGAGACTCGAGGCGACGAAGATGTGGTTCTACAGAAGGATGCTAAGGATATCATGGACCAAGCGTGTGAGCAACGATGAGGTCTTAGAGAGGATGCAAACAAGGTAGATGCTTATACTTAACATCAGGAAGAGGCAGCAAATGTTGGAAGATTTCCTCAAAGATGAAGAAGAGACTCGAGGCGACAGAGATGTTGTTCTACAGAAGGATGCTAAGGATATCATGGACCTAGCGTGTGAGCAATGATGAGGTCTTAGAGAGGATGCAAACAAGGAGGAGGCTTATACTTAACATCAGGAAGAGGCAGCGAATGTTGGACGATTTCCTCAAAGATGAAGAAGAGACTCAAGGCAACGGAGATGTGGTTCTACAGAAGGATGCTAAGGATATCATGGACCGAGCGTGTGAGCAACGGATGTGAGCAAGGATGCAAACAAGGAGGAGGCTTATACTTAACAAAAGGAAGAGGCAGCGAATGTTGGACGATTTCCTCAAAGATGAAGAAAAGACTCAAGGCGACGGAGATGTGGTTCTACAGAAGGATGCTGAGGATATCATGGACCGAGCGTGTGAGCAACGATGAGGTCTTAGAGAGGATGCAAAGAAGGAGGAGGCTTATACTTGAGCATCAGGAAGAGGCAGCAATGTTGGACGATTTCCTCAAAGATGAAGAAGAGACTCGAGCGATGGAGATGTGGTTTCTTGAGAAGGATGCTAAGGATATCATGTACCGAGCGTGGGGAGCAATGATGAGGTCTTAAGAAGATGCAAACAAGGAGGAGGCTTTATACTTAACATCAGGAAGAGGCAGCGAATGTTGGACGATTTCCTCAAAGATGAAGAAGAGACTCGAGG